CTTGTTAGATCAATTACGACTGAGTAGTGAGTTCGATCCTCACTGGGTGCCCCATACTTTCGGCCTTGTGCCACATCTAAGCTATGCTTGGAGGATAACTTTCTACCTTAATATTTCGTTGTTCTACCAACTAATCAGGAACGAATTATTACTTTTTGATTTTTACGGTCGTTTATATTTTGTAAAATAGGAGCCACGGTGGAGTAATGGATACCTGTTCAGTTTGAGAAATCGGTGAGCTGCGTTCGAATTCCTTTCGGATTCATTACATTCACTTATCTGCTAATATTTTAATCTGAATCCTTTTATTATTCACCCAGCTATGGGTAAGTTTCTTATCGAAGGGCGCCATTTCTTCTTTATAATTAACGAATATTCAGGCCGGTAGACGAAAACAAATAAATATACTGTTTAAATAAATAAACACAGCGTCTACTTAAATACGAATACCCACTAAAATAACGTTTAAAGTGTCATATATATATATATATATATATATATATATATATATATATATCCCTCACCGGTAGCACAACTTGAAGTTTTATATACAACCTTCAGGTGCTGCTTTTGCATGACACTCCGAGTTGTACTACCGATGAGGGATAATATGTATATTTATTAATTTATACTTAATAGCTTTGTTATATTAGCACTGTTTTATTAACACCAGTCCTGTATGTGCGATATTATATATATATATATATATATATATATATATATATATATATATATATATATATATATATATATAAAAGTGAAGAGGTTATATTAGTTCCAACGCAAGAACTGTGTGTATAATAAAAAGAAGAGAGAAACCATAAACTCTTTTGGTTGTAATGTAGATTTAATACACACACACACACATATATATATATATATATATATATATATATATATATTATGCTTTATTTACATAATTTTGCTACACGTGTTTCCGGTCTCGCGACCTTCATCAGGCAAAGAGTGGATGTTTCCACATATTATTAAAAGGAATTTATTTTTCTTATATTTCTCGATGTTAAATTTTCTCGACATTAGACATTCTCTTTTTTGTGTGTTAATGACCCATCTGTCTTTCTTGAACTGGCAGTGAAAGAATTCTACGTGAACGGTAATAAAACAATTAAGACTGGTCCGATATATATATATATATATATATATATATATATATATATATATATAAGGAAAGTCTGTGACAAAGTGGAATTTTATTTTCGTGTGATGTGTTTTGTTCTTTAGAACTTCATTGGACATAAGATATATAAGGCTGTGAAATTGACAGTCGCCATTCAGTGTTGATTCCTATATCCACAGTGTCTAAATCTATAAACGCTCTATCTTCGATATTGAGCACTCTTTTCCTATGAATGTATTTACGCACACCCACGCATATATATATATGTGTGTGTGTGTGTGTGTGTGTGTGTGTGTGTGATTTCCTTCTCTGATATCAAGTCCGATGAAAAGCCTCGAATCTTATACCCCCAAGTAAAGCGGGCTGGTAAAAAATGACTCAGAATCTCTAAAACAGGACGCAAGTCATATCATGTACAAGATCACGTACGTTACAGCAAAATTTATCTCACGGAACTACAAAAAGAACATAACACACACACACAAACTCACACACAAAACAGACACACACACACACACACACATATATATATATATATATATATATATATATATATATATATATATAGAGAGAGAGAGAGAGAGAGAGAGAGAAAGAGAGAAATGGCGAAAGTGAAAGAGAGAGAGATACAATGTGATCACACTCATACGTTATCGGATAACAGCTTAAGGCATGAAACTGACAGAGTTTGGGGATATGGCAAGAAAGCAAAAGTTATCAAGCGCTACAACGGACAGGAAATTGTGGAGAGCCACGATCGGACCATATATGAAGAACAGGAAAAGTCTGTAAGCAGAAATGTGCGGCTCTTGAAGTCATTTTTGTGTCTCCTGTATTTCAGTGAAATATAATTTCTAATAAGGTCCATTTAAAATAGCGAAATTTATACTTGAAATTTTTATCACCTGTCGCCAACCAAGCGACAGGGTAACGCTATATACATTTTAACTAATTGATTAATTAATTAATTAATTAATTAAATGAAAGATATCTTACTAAATTCTCCGAGGTTTTATAACACTATTGGACTCTACTTTGAGCAATAAGAATGTACAATTACTCTCCAAACTTAACAGAAGAATCATGATGAAATCCATCATGGACGAAGATTACATGTTCATCATTAATTAAACATAGCTAAGGATTCGGTAGTTCGTGAAGCATTTGAATAAAGTTCATATAATATATATATATATATATATATATATATATATATATATATATATTTTTAAATTAAAAATAATAATAATTTTACCTATCATAATTTTACATTAGACCCCACCGCACGTATATACATACATGCGAGGAAATTTTATTCAGTGAAAAAAAAAGATAAATGCTCTGATTTTTGGCATGTATACA